GTTGCCGGTCCCGGTCCGGTACAGGCGTGACACTGAGGGTTGCGATCTGTTGCCGGTCACGCAAAAAGACAAAAAGGAAAAAAAAAATGTACCCACAGTAGACACCGAGAATTGCTTCTGATTTGTTGAAAAATGATTTATTTTCACTTAAGCACATTAAGACTTTTAGACCTTGTTGTTAGAAGTTGTATAGACTCAGCCTGTGCCTCAAGCTTCAGTTCTTTACCTGTTTCTACTGGACCCAGTAAACAAAAAGTCTGAGATGTTCTGGCCTATTCCTACCCACTCCATGCTTCAGCAGGAGAGTGAGTATGTGCCAAATACACTTAGGTAATTTTTCTTCCACAGCAAGATGATTTTGTGGAAAAAAGTTAAAGAAGGAAGGGTTTCAAAATTAATCTTCAATCCTTGACCAGTAGCCAGTTTTGTCAATTTATCCTGCAAAGCTGTAATGAAATTTAAATTATCCTATATTTTGATGAAAGAAGTTGTTTCCAGACCCATGAATTGCTTCTGTGAGCATTTTATTTAGATAAAAATAAAATTCAAATTCATAAGAAAAAAAGAGATAGGAATTGTTAAGATAGGTAGAATACATGTAATTAATTATTGGCTCATGGCTAGTTCTTTATAAAAACTGATAGGCTAATACTTATTTTCTTGGATAAAATCTTATTTCTTTCTGAAATCAGAGGCCCCTAAAAATTATTATAAGACATTTAGAGTTTAGAACTGTTATCACTATCAAAAAGAAGGAGGATATATACCCTTACACCTCTTGGTTTTTGAGACTGCGAGGACTGGAGTATTGATAGGTGGAAAAGGTCAACGATCATGATGCTCTATAAGACAAAAGGCGAAAATCACCTAAGAGATGATGACAGTCTACAAAACACAGAGCTGGGATGACTAACAGTCTGTAATAAAAGAGTTGGCAGTCTTCAGTCCCTGGTGCATTAGAATATGAATCAGAACAGTATTTTTATATATTCTTTAGAAGAATAGCAAAATATCACAAATTCGTTGGTTTTCCATTCACCTAAATGGCAATTATTATCTAGCCTACTTATCTCAAGACTCTCAGGACTTTTAAATGGTCTAAAGCGATTTAGATTAAAAATCGCCTCAAGATGATAGAGTCTACAACTTCAAGAAAAAAAATGAAAACCTAATATGAACCTAGGTTTGTCAAGAATGACTTTTAGTGTCCTCTAAAAACAGTTACCCTCAATAAATGTGAAAGATGCAGCTTAAAGACCTAGCTTGGATCTGGAACTCACTGGGAGACTGGACAAATGTAACGCTCTGTGTCATCTGCCCATGGGGTATAGCTCGTCCTGGAGGGTGCTCTTCTTGGAATTGGGGAATAAGGAGTCGGCCCCAGGGGACCAAGTATCTGCCACAAGGAGAAAGAAAAAGAATCCACATACCCAAAAGCACAGCCCGGGCCTAAGGAAAGCCAGCGTTAATAGCTTTTAGATTCATTAACAAGACAATTGTTATGTGATTAAAGAGCAGCAGAGGGGTAAGATGAAAACCATGAATGCATAATGAAATTCATTTTTCATATTCCAGCCATGAACACAACAGAGATGAATGGATAAGATTGCTACATTGTAATGTAGTTTGTTTTACAATTATTCACCGCATTATGTTAACATATTTCCAATAATGTGATCTAACAACGGGATAGGATAGAAATGTGTAGTCTCTATTTACCCACAAATCAGAACACCTCTTCCTTTTGTAACATGCCTTAGATGATACAATATCTTTCTCCTTATTTACCTATCACAGTCTTTGAGTTGATCTGCTTTAGAAGATTCCTTTGCTTAGTCTCTGTCCTTATTCTCTCTGGTGTATTAATTTGGGAGAACTTTACTTCCTTATTTTCTTGTCTCCAATATGTTATTAGAAACTCAGAAGTTCTATTGCTATTGTGATGTTAAATTCCCAGCTTTAGTGCCATGTTTTTTTAGGGAATGCTCATTGTAGGGAGAACATTGAGCCATGGTACCTGAGCATATATATGGAAAGGTGAAAGGAAAAAGGGCACTCAGAAGGAATGGGATCTGCATTTCCTTCAGGAGGCAACAGCAATGATGAGCAGTTAAGGAGGCTGGGCTGACTACTTCGTGGGGCTACCCTCATCAGTTAGAAAGTAGTCTCCAGGGCCGAGCCCGTGGCGCACTCGGGAGAGTGCAGCGCTGGGAGCGCAGCAGTGCTCCNATCTTTGGGGGCCATTATTCAGCCTACTACAATTCTCTTTCCCTCATGGCTTAAGTCCCACTTTTATTTTGTGTAGGGATGCAGCCAACCCTGTATTCCGTGAAGGAGGCTCTTCTTGGCAAACCCACCTGGATACGAACTGGCTATGAAATCTGTTATTACACGTAAGAGTTGTTATTAGCTTTCTTCTATCTACTATGTCATTTCCTGTCAATGTCTTGTTTTTCTATATTGATCTTATAAACATCAATAATCTGTGCACATCTGCTATGTTGGTTGTCAATCTGTCCCAATGACAAATGCCCTGCCCTTCTGAGGTATAAGCATGTTAAAATGTACCCACAGCTGGGCCGGCCCGGTGGCGCACTGCTATAGTGCGCCAATTGGGAAGCGCAGTGGCGCTCCCGCCGAGGGTTCGGATCCCACATACAGACCGGCCGCTCACTGGCTGAGCGAGGGGCGGGAGCAACACTGAGGGTTGCGATCCCGTTGCCGGTCCCGGTCCGGTACAGGCGTGACACTGAGGGTTGCGATCTGTTGCCGGTCACGCAAAAAGACAAAAAGGAAAAAAAAAAAAAGAAAATCAACATGTCAGAATGATACCTGCACATCCATATTTATTTACAATAGCCAAGGCATGGAATCAACCTAACTGTTCATTGACAGATGACCAGATAAGAAAGATGTGGTATATATACACAATGGAATACTACTCAGCCATAAAAAAGAATGAAATTCTGCCATTCGCAGCAACAGAGATACATTAAGAGAAAATTATATTAAGTGAAATAAGCCAGGCACAGAAAGAGAAACATCACATGTTCTCTGTTATATGTGAAAGCTAATAAAGTTGATCTCATAGAAGTAGAGAGTAGAATAGTGGTTACTAGAGATCAATAAGGGGAGGGCAAGGGAGGTCAGGGGAGAGTGGTCAATAGATACAAAACTGCAATTAGTCAGGAAGAATAAGATCTAGGGTTCTATAGCACTGTAGGGAGACTACAGTCAACAACAAATTATTGTATACTTTCAAGTAGCTAGTAGTGAGGATTTTGAATATTTCCAACACAAAGATGTGACAAATGTTTGAGGTGATGCACATGCTAATTACTTTGATATAAGTATCGCACACTATAAAAATGTACCCAAATACCACTTTGTGCTCCATAAATATATACAATTATCATTTGTCACTTAAGAAAAAATATATTTAAAAAAATTCAGAGACAGAAGTAGATTAGAGGTTACCAAAAACAACTTGGTATCCACATGCAGAAGAATAAAGTTGGATCCCTACCTCATTTCATATACAAAAATTAACTCAAACTGGATCAAAACTAAATGCATCTGCTAAAACTATAAAATTCTAACAAGAAAATACAAGGTTTCACCTTCATGACCTTGACACCAAAAGAACAAGTAACAAACGAAAAAAATAGATAAATTAGACTTTGTCAAATTTTTAAAAATTTGTGTTTCAGGGCCGGCCCGGTGGTGCACTGGAGAGTGCGCCTCTTGGGAGCGTGGCGGCGCTCCTGCCGAGGGTTTGGATCCCATGTGGAGACCGGTTCCCGCTCACTCGCTGAGTGTGGTGCGGGCGCAACACCGAGGGTTGCGATCCCGTTGCCGGTCCCCAGTACGGGCATGACACCAAGGGTTGCGATCCCATTGCTGGTCAGTAAAAAAGACAAAAAGGAAAAAAAAAATTTGTGTTTCAAAATACACTATCAAGAAAATAAGATAAATAAAATAAACAAACTAAAAAATAGGAAAAATATTTTCAAATCATATATCTGATAAAGGTTTAATATCCAGAATATATAAATAACTCCATTAACTCAATAACAAAAGTGAAAAGTAAAAACCCAACTTATAAATAAAAAATGGGCAAAACACTTGTATAGACATTTCTCCAAGGGATATGGATAAATGGCCAATAAGCACATGAAAAGATGCTCAACATCATTAGTCAATAGGAAAATTCAAATCAACCTCACAATGAGATTTCACTTAATAAGATGGCTGTAATTAAATATATACA